GCTCACTGCAACTAGAGAAAGCCTGCACGCAGCAATGAAGACCCAATGCAGCCAAAAATAAATTAAAAAAAAAAAAAAAAAAAAAGACGTGTTGGTCTGTCAAAACACTCAGCCAAAGAAGTGAATAATTATTTCTTTATGTTGTTCCCAAGCACAGTACAAACGAGGTTCCGTGATGTAGGGAGCATGTACGTATCAGATGCTGTAGAAACCAACACTCTAGGGACGGGTTGGCGGCGAGCCAGATGTTCAAAGCTGCACATACCCCACTCATGACACAAAATATGTATATCCACTGCTCTACAAAATGCTTTCATCATTGTGTTTAATAATTCCTTATTATCTCCAAAGTAAACTTAAATGACAGTCACTTGCCAAGGTGAAAGAGGAGAATGGCACACGACCGCGGCATGCTTTGTCTGCTGCGTGCTTAGCCTCCTGTCTCCTGCGTCACTGTCTATCCTCAGAGAAGTTAGAGTTGTATCGCATGTAAACAGGATGACAAATATAGGGACCGAGGGGCTTCCCTGGTGGTGTACTGGTTGAGAGTCCGCCTGCCGATGCAGGGGACACGGGTTCGTGCCCCGGTCCGGGAAGATCCCACATGCCGCGGAGCGGCTGGCCCCGTGAGCCATGGCCGCTGAGCCTGCGCGTCTGGAGCCTGTGCTCTGCAACGGGAGAGGCCACAACAGTGAGAGGCCCGCGTACCGCAAAAAAACAAAAAAACATAGAGACCGATGCAAAAGACAATTTTTCGAACTTTCTATATAATTGGAAGTTATTAGTGTTTAAAATTTGGTTTTCAAAACACAAAAAGAATTGGTTCTTATTTTTTCTTTACTAAAAAAAAAATCTCTTCTTTATTCAGTACAATGTCTTTTCCTTTCTCTCCCATTCTCACCTTGTACCTGCTCCACTTGTAGGCAGGAGGCCCTCTTATAGGGTAAAATTTGAGGACCACTGTTGCCATAACTACTTCAAAATAGCTTTCCTTCCCTGCAGCCTGCTGTGGCTCCACTGTTGTTTCATACTTGGCCTGAATATTTTACTGTTAGAGTTATCCCTTTGATACAGAGGATAGAGATTTTTTTTCCTCCAGAAAGCAGCTATTTAAAGATACATATATGTCTGGGAGCACAGAGAGGCCCTCCCCAAAGCTGAAAGGGTAAAATATAGAATCATAAATTTATTGAGTGAAGCGTGAAAAAAGGGTTGGTAGCATTGGAGTTGCGGGTGGAGATGGGGAAATAGGAGTGGCTATCAATGGGAGGGAAAGTCCTGGGTTCAGTCTTTTCACATTTATTTATTCATGCAGTATTTGTTGAGCATCTACACTGCCAGCTACTATACTAGGTGGGAGTGGTTCACAGTGACCTCGTTGCCCTCCTGGAATTTATGGCCATGTTGGGACTGGGGCTGGCCTAGCATAGGTAAAGAAAAGTCTCCTTGAGTTTGGGATTAGCAGATACAAACTACTATATATAAAATAGATAAACAAGGTCCTACTGTATAGCACAGGGAACTATGTTCAATATGCTGTAATAAACCATAAAATAAAAGAATATGAAAAAGAATATGTATATATATGTTAAACTGAATCATTGTGCTGTACATCAGAAACTAACACAACATTGTAAATCAACTACACTTCAGTAAAAGGAAGAGAAATGGTACTCATATGTACCAAAGCACAAAGAAGTATCCTGTGATCAAGGAATAGGGAGAGGGCCTGTGTGTGGTGGAAGCTCAGTTGGCAAAGGTAGTTCAAGGTCAGGCTGGAGCCAGATCATGCAAGGCCTTGTAGCCATGCTAAAGATTTTGAACTTCATCAGGAAAACAAAGAGGAGTCGTTGAATAGCAGAGGTGTGACAAGATCAGTACATTTTAAGAAGATCCCTCTAGCTGCTGTGTGGGCAATGGATTGACGGTGTTAGGGAAAGCCTGAATGAGGGCACACTTGGAAGTTAGTGCTGGAGTCATGGTGAGGGCTGATGATGGGTTAAACTGGAGCAGAATAGTGGAGAGGGTGGGAAGAGGGGAGATTCAAGGTATGGTCTGAGGGTGGAAACAACATGGACTGAACGTGAGGGATAAAGGAGAGCGTGGTGTCAAGGATACTCTTAAGTTTCTGGTATAAGCAACTTGGTGGAGTGGCGCCAGCTGTTGACAGAGGAAAGGCAGATTTGGGGACCTATTAAGTGTGAGATGGTTTGTGCAGAATTGGTGCAAGGTCTACTGAAACCATGGAACATACCATGATAGGTTCTCTCCCTTTCACTTTCCTTCCCTCCAAATCTTGGTCTCTGTGTCTGTCCAGTAACATTGCCTCATTCCTTCAGAATTTTCCATGGGATGGGTGGAGGATGATGCTAACATTTTTGAGGTCACATCCTTACAGCTCTTGATCCAACAGGAAAGAAAGAACTTCCCTTCATTTCCAATTCAGAAAGTTTCAGAGAAGGACTCCAATTGGCTCCGCTCAGGTCACATCCTCTTCTTAGCCAATGGTCAAGAGAACGCAGCACTTAAATTGATCAAGCTTGGGTTCACGTCTCCACTGTTTGCTTTTTTTGTGGAGGGGAAAGGGTAGAATACTATAGTTGGTAACCTCATCAGCACCTCTGGTGGGTAGACGGTGGGGAGGAGCAGTTCCCCAAAGGGCAGAGGCAGTGCTGGGCTGTCAGAACTAACAGATGTTTCCTGCCTCCTAAGCCTTCAGTGTTTCATTCTGCGTTAATCCTGCAGTAATACTGCTATCTAGAAATGCAGAATTTTCCAACTCTGAGCTGATGGGGTAGTTAAGGGCCTGGCTATGTTGATGAACTTATTGTAATTTTGAACTATAAAAACAATGTATTTATGAAAATTTTGAAAAAAGGAAAAAAGCATCCACTATTTCACACTGACACCTTTTCATTTTGTGCATTCCTTTCCCACATTTTTCCTTAAGCATATACCTTTCTTTTTTCCCTTCTTGCATGTGGGAATCTCAGTTCCCTGGTCTCATTTCCCCAACCAGGGATCAAACCCGTGCCCCCTGCAATGGAAGCGTGGAGTCTTAACCGCTGGGCCACCAGGGAAGTCCCTTAATTCATTTGTTTATTATTTTTTAAAATATTTATTTATTTATTTATTTTGGTTGCGCTGGCGGGCGCCTTAGTTGCGGCTTGCCGGGCTCCTTAGTTGCGGCTTGCCGGCTCCCTAGCTGTGGCATGCAAACTTTTAGTTGCAGCATGCACGTGGGATCTAGCTCCCCGACCAGGGATGGAACCTCTGGCTCCCTGCACTGGAAGCTTGGAGTCCCAACCACTCTGCCACCAGGGAAGTCCGAATTCATTTGTTTAAACATCAATATTTACATGAAAATAACTTGAATATGTAAGTTTGTTGTATTGGTATGCGCTGGGAAACTTGAGGGACAAGCTTGTAACTGTATTGCAAAATATTGCTTGAGCTCTTGTTATGGGCCTGGTAGTCTGGAAGCTGATGGAGATACAGACATCATTAAAATCTATTTCTGGCCTTTAAAAGTTCATAATCTCATGACTTTTGATAAAATTAAAGTATTCCTCAATTGTAACTAAAAAGTTATTAAATCAAAAGAGCAATATGGACATTGGAGGATATAAATACAGTAAAAAAAAAAAGTATCTTGTATCCTTGCATAGGGAAGGGAAAGAAAAGTGAGGGGAGTGGAAGAGGATGGGACAGAAAAGGAGTGAAAAGGCTGGGGAAAGCGGGGCAGTAAGGCCTCTAAACTGTGGTTAGTGTCACCCCATGCAATTGTTAAGTTAAATGTTGAAAGTGAGACCACACTTGAAGACACGCGTCCCTTTAAAAGGGAAGGTGGGTGTTCAGAGCAATTCTCATTTTGCCTAAAAGGGGCTGTTTCTCTCTATACTCTCTCCAGACAGAGCCAGATTAGCAGACATAGTCAGACTTCCTATAGAAACATTTTAATCAAGGTCACCCTTCTCCCCAGAAAAATGCACTCACTACCAATACAAACAGTATTCTAAGTTTAACCCACAGAGGACCATCCCTGGGCTCTCTGGGCTCGGTGGATCCAGGTTAGACAGGCCCCCAGTTCAAGAGTCGGCCTAAAGGTAGCAATACTCCCAGCTCCAAGACTCAGGAAGACCACTCCTCTAAATGTTTTGCAACCTCGTCCATTTCAGATTTTTCAGGGGTCCTGGGTAAATCGGTCTCACCAAGGATTCCGCCCCATCTGGCTGCTCCCATTTTTAAACACAGACCCGTGCGTGGGAGAGGCCATTATTTTTACGGGATCACTGTGCTTCTGGAGCAGCTAGGGACAGGCAGAGTTGCTTTACCGCAACGCCGGGTCCATCCTTAACCCGGGCTCCGCCCTCAGGCCGCCTCCTCATCCGAGCCCCCGCCCCTCCTCCCCCGCCAACCCCCGACCCGCTCCACCCCTTTGCTCTGAGAGCCGCTCGGCCACTGCCCGCGACCGGGTTCCACCTGCCCATCTCGTGGCTCCGCCCCGGGGCCACTGGTGCCGCCCCCTTCGAGGGGCCCAATGAGCGTGCCCGAGCACTCCTCAGCCCCCCCACTCAACTGGAATCCCCGCCCTCTGTCCGATTTAACCAATGAGAGCCACAGGGTGTTCCTGGCCACGCCCACCACATCATCAGGTCACGCCCCCGGCGCCCGGCCCCCCCGGGGCGTTGCCGTGGCCGCGCCTCCGCCGCCCGAGCGGAGCCAGATGCCGCCCCCTCCGCCGGTCCCTCCCCCGGCGGCCTGGCGCCTCCCTCTCTCCCCGCCGCGGTGACTCACTGAACGGGAGGCGGAGGCTGAGGCGGTTGCTCCCGTTGCTGCTGCTGTTGCTGCTGCTGCTGCCCCCGCGGCTGCTCGGGCTGTGCGCGCCCCGGAACAGGCCGCCGCGCGCCGCTCTCGGACCCGCAGCCCCCGCCCGCCCGGCCGGGTCGGGCGGCCCAGGTAAGCGCCGAGGCCGGCCCTCGCCCTCAGCGCCTGGGCCCGCGCCGCGCCGGGGCTCGGGGGAGCCGCCGGCCCTTTGTCTCTCGGGGAGGGGCCGTGGAGGGCGCCCCCGACTCCGCTCGGACCCACCAGCCGGACCCCCGGCACGGCGCCCTGGTCTGGGCCGGGCCTCCTGCCCCACCTGGCCCCCGCTGCTCCTGCCACTCGCCGCCCCCGCGACAGACCACCATCCAGCGGTCCTCAACCCCCCTTACCCCGGGGGTCGCCTCCACAGGTGTCCGAGCCATCCACTCTGTTGCTCACCCCACCGCGTTGGCGGGGTTGTCACCGTCTGTCGGCACTCCAGGTCCCGTGCCCTCTTGTGTCTTCCCTCACCTGCGCCCTGCTTTCAGCATCCTGACCCTCTGTATAGAGCCCTCCCATATTTTCCCAAACTAAATGCTGCCAAGATCTGGTCACTGATCCACGGTTCCTCTCCCTAGTCTGGTTGAACTGTCGTGTCCCCATCCCACCTCTCCTAGTGAGTGTTCCTAGACGGTGCACATTGTAGGCATACATCTCACCTGTATGGCAGGCGTGTGTATGTGAACCTGCAAGACTGCACTTCTCGCCTCCTTTCCATCATCCCCACCCCGACCACTTTCCTTTTTCTTGAACCTGGTAACCGAGACACTTAGGTCTGATACCCAACCTCTGTTAGGGCCCGCATGCCTGCCTCTCTCGTGTGTGCTGAACTTGTCTGAGCAGTACCTGCTGTCAGGTTAGCCCCTGGGAAGGCCCAGGAGGCCTGTGTTGGCCGCAGATGAAGAGTTTTATGAATAATGAGATGTGAGGCTGGCAGCACCTCCTATCTGAGAATCTAAGTACACTATAGCTGTTAATTACTTTGTCTCCTGTCACTCACACTACTTAGGGAAGTGTGCCTGGCCGACGGCTGGGTAAATTGAGGCACAGGGTGTGTGGGCAAGGGACCTGGAGGCAAGTCAGAGTTTGTCCTGAGGTTCTGCTCCCAAGTATCTTGGCTCTTAGCTCCCTGTTACAACTACTGGGCTCTAGTTCCTGGCTTTAGACTCTAAGTGATACTGATCTCTTGGGCCATTAAAGTGTCCAGAGAGACCAAGTTTCCTTTGATTTAAAGCAGGACTTTGAATTATAAATAAAGGTGCTGGCTGTTAAATGCCAGTGTGTCATTCATGGTTTCCTGGTGGAGTGAGTGGTCCTTGTGTATGTGTCAGGCAGCATTCCAAGCACCGGGGGCTACAGTGGTGAAGAGAGACACAGCCCCTGCCCTCCTGTAGCTGACCTTCTGAAGAGGAGGGATTAAACAAGTAAGTGGACAAAATAATTTTAGTCATGGTAAGTGCTGTGAAGGAGGGAAGAGCCAGTTTGGATTTTATTCCAAGTGCAGTTAGAAACCACAGGTGGATTTTAAGTAAAGAGGTGATAAGATCTGATTTGTTTTCAGAGATCATTCTGGCTGCTCTATTGAGACTGGATTGTAAGGAGCAGGGATACTAATTGGGAGACAGACTGTTGCCGCTTCCGGTCAAGGGATGATGGTGGCTTGGACCAGAGTAGGGGTAGCAGAAGTGAATAGGTAAAACCAGTCTGCTCCCCCCGAGAGAGGCTCAGAGCTTTAAAGCAAAACTTCAGGGAACACCGACTTCGAGTTATACTTCTGGCAGAGAATTTCTGGACCTGACCAAGCTCAGGTTTAGCTCAGCAAACCTTACTCAGCACCTGCTGTGGGCCAGGTACTGTGCTAAACTCTAGAGATACTGATGTGAACAGGGTGAATAGGGAGCAGTCTCCACATTCTAACAAGGTGCTCACAGAAACGTCACCCACCCCCTCCTTGAGGGAAGAGGGTTTGTAGGCTTAAAAATCAGTTCGAGGTGGAGGAGGGCAGAACACACTGGGCTTCATTCCCACATCCGGCTGCATTATTTAAATGAGAGCGTTATTGCCCTGCCTCTGCTGTAAGATGTTGCCCAAAGATATTGGGACTGATCTCATGGTGGGTGGGAGAGCAGCTCAGTGGCCGTGAACTTGAACCATTAACCAGAATAAAACTTGATCTCCACGTTGCTCCAAGTCTGGGCTGTCAGAACACATCCGAGCTATAAAGGACCGTGGGGCCGGGCCCCTCTTACGGTTGGGCACCTGTGGTCCCTAGAGAGTGAGTAACTCTTTTGAAATCCCATAGCTGTTTGTACATTTGCTAATGGTATCCGTCACTTTCTACCTCTCAGCTTCGTATGCACTTGCATGACCCTAAGCTTTCTGAGGCCAGGGTCTCTATTGGATTCAGCTTTTCCATCCCTCACAGCATCTAGATCCTGCCCCAAAAGTACACTCATCAAGTACGAGTTGACTTGCCTGGGTGTCTCACAGCACCTAAAACTAGAGCCCAGGAATCCTGACCCTGTCCATGTCTTTTCATTAGATTCCTCCTCAACCAGAGTGCACCACGGGCGTCAACCCAGCAGACTCCATGTCACTGAGCTCACAGCCCTTCCTTGATGGGCCTGCTCTCTCTCCAGCTCTGCCTACAAGGAACAGCTGCTGAGGGTGCTGACCAAGTAGTTACTCAACACTCGGCAGATAGGAAGCATAGCTCTTAATCAGAGCATGGACTTCATACCAAGACTATCTGGGTTTGGGTCTTGGTTCTGCCATCATGAGCTTCGTGACCTTCAGCAAGTAACTTAACCTCTCTGTGCCTCAGTTTCCCCATCTATAAAATATTAATACTTCATGGAGTTGTTGGGAGGCTTAAATTAAGTAATACCTATTAGATGCTTAGAAGAGCACTGAGCACCTTGGTATGGCTTGGTTGAAGTAGTAGCTGTTATTTCACCATTTTTTTAATCTGATTTTTATCTCCCATCAGAATTTAAGCTCTTTTAGGGCAGAGATTTTGTCTTTTTTTTTTTTTTTGGTCTACAGTTAGACTTTGTAGGCACGCAATAAATATTTCTTAAATTGTATGGCTTATTGAACACCTACTGTGTGCCAGGCACTGTTGTAGATGCTGGGGATATAGCCAAGAACAAGATCACCAAGTTGCGTGATCTAATGAAGTTTACATTCTAGTGGGAGAGACAGACGGTAAACAAGTACACAAGTGAACAAAATAATGTAGGATGGTGAAAAGAGATGCACGGAGAATAAAACAGGGCAATGAGATGGAGAGTGCCTGGGTCATAATTTTAGCGAGCTCTGAGGAGGTAACTTTGAATGGAGACCCTGCGGATGGGCAGAGAGGACAGTAGAAGCAAGAAGCCTATGGCGGCTGGAGTGTACTGAGTGAGGAGGTGGCAGGAGTGGGGTCTGTGGCCACAGTGAGGAGTTTGGATTTTACTCTTCAATTCTGAACAGCGGGAGGTCACTGCACAGGAACCTTTCCTGGGGGTCCATCCTAGGAGAAAGACCCGGACGATTGGAAGAGCAGTGAGCAGGCTCTCCTTGTCCTGGGAAGGCTTTTGGAGGCCATCAGTGTTGTATTTATTGCCCTCAGGTTTCTCATGTCTCTGACCTAGGTACCCAGGTGATGTGGGATCCATCAGCTAACTTAAGGAAGTTCCAGGTGTGTGTGTCTGTGTGTCCTGCAGATTCCATCAAGCCACCTTTCTCCCCTGAGTATGTAGGTAATTGGTCAATGTTTCTTGAGTTGAATGAATGAGCATCGCCAGCTCTTAGCATCTTGTCCTGTACAGCAGCTTGTCCTGTTCTCTGCATAAGGAAAAGCTTCTTGTCATGGTAGTGACTCTGGCGTAACCTTGGAGTTTTGCTGCTGTTCTTATGTGCATCAGGGACCCCCACATACCTGTATGTCACAGTGTCTTCACAGTGTCTTGTTTTGTTTTGTTTCTTCGGCTGCACCGCTCAGCTTGCAGGATCTTAGTTCCCTGGCCAGGGACTGAACCAGGCCCTTGGCAGTGAGAGCATGAGAGTCCTAACCCCTGGACCACCGGGGAATTCCCTGTCACAGTGTCTTTGTTGGAAGTGTACCAATATTGACTGGGCAGCTTTCCTCCCCCCCGACCCCATCCCCATTTCTCTACCAGTCCCCTGCTGAGTACCACCAGGCCACACTGTCACCTCTGAACACTTCCTGTATCATTATTTGATCTACACTCCTGCACATCACTTGATCCAAGTATGGTGGTACCTAGAAAGCATTGGCTGTCTTTAGTCTGGGCTGAGTGGAGTTGGGAAGCTCAGCAGAAATGGAGTTTCAAACCCAGGAGTTCAACTCACCAGGAATCCAAAGTTGGCCTCTTCAGACTGAGGGCAGTTGGCCAGCCTTTCAAATCCTCACTCAGGCATCCCCTTGTCTGTCAGTGTCCGTGATGCCAACCTGCTCTGCTAACCTTGAGAGGCCAGTGAGAGTTGGTAGGAATCAAATAGGACTTTTGTGCTGCAAGTCACTCTCAGGGTTCTGGCGTATTTCAGTGGCCGAATCGGAAATGCTTGTTAGTCACGTGTTGCCTGTCTCCTTGTAAAAACTAAACCCGGAGTGGGTGCAACCTTTTTCTCTTGTTACTGTTGTTCTTTTGTTTGTTTTTGTTTTTTTTCATTATGAGAGTGATGCGTACTCATTTAGAAAATGAATGATGACATTTTCTGTACTTTTTCTCACTTAGTCTTCACTGTAGTTTCTAAGTAGCATTATTACCATTTTGCATATTCAGAAGCTGAGGCCTGGAAAGGTTAAGTACAATAAGCTGTTTGAAGTGAAGATAGTTGGGAACAAAGTCAAGATTGAGACCCAGTTGGTGGGACTCCTGTGTGTGAGTTCTGGACACCATATTAGATGCTGCCTTGCAGCAGAAACAACAGAGAAGAAAAGACATCTCCCTTAAGCCCAGCGTGGATGACATTGTGAGGGTGCCCAGAGTTAGCGCGCTGGCTGCTGCAAAGAGTTTGAATCCTGTGCCTTTTCCCTGTCTCATCTGACCTTGGGCAAACTAAGTCACCTCCCTTTGCCTTACTTTCCTCAATTGTAAATGGGGATAATGATCCTTGTGCCTTAATAGCTCCCAGGGGCATTGTGATGTTTGGGCCAAAGTGCTTTTGAACTTCTTTTATGAAAGGGCACTGAGCCCCAACTGCTTATACTCTGTCATTAAAGACCTATTATGTCCTGATCCTCTGCAGAGCCTTGTTAGAGGGGGAAGACAACAGCCCCCAGAGGGAAAGGTGTCCTTCTGTTGGGGGGCTTCCTCCTTCCGAAGTTTCTTAAGGATTGAAGGTCATGAAAGTTTCTCCATTTTTCATGTTCATGTTGTTCTGTAGAAGCTTCTGGAAGCAGCATGTAAACTGTGCATCGTAACAGGTTCGAGGACCGTTGATGGCAGGGCAGAGAAGGGGGTTATAGGGCTTGGTTTCTAATCTCGGCGGTGATGTCTTTGTAATATAAACCAAGAACACAGAGATAGCAAGAGGTGATGACTATCTTCCATTCATCCTTCCTTTCCTCCTTCCTCCTAATAACTCACTGATTCAAGTAATAAATATTTACTGAACTTTTATTACGATCTGGGCCCCATGGTAGGCCCTGGGAATACTGTGGTGAGCAGGGTATACTCATGGTAGGGAATACTGTGGTGAGCAGGGTAGAATTAGTTCTTATCGTACAAATCTTAGAGTCTAGGGCCAAGAGGCTTCCTATCTAGTTGGGAGTCGTGTGACTAAAGCACGAACATGTTGGTGAGTGTTTTGAACTCTCGGGAGGAGAGTCAGGATGTAATTTCCAGATGTCCACATCAGCCGCATGGGTACCTGCCCTGGACGGACGTTACGGTGGAGGGTTGGGTTTGGCTTCCCAGAAGAGCTGGGGAAGAGTTAGTAGATTGGAGCCCTTGTGTGTCACACTTAACAAAAGCTGTGCTAGTGTGGGTGTCTGTAGAAACAGTTAGCACCTTGGCAGTCCCAGTTAGTAAGAACTACGTTTCCACTTAAAAGCTTATTAACCCTTTGTTACCCAAGTTCAAGTCAGGGAAGAACGATCATGGCATTGAGCTCTTTTCACAGTTTTTTTTTCAAATAAATTTTATTTATTTATTTATTTATTTTGGGCTCTGTTGGGTCTTCGTTGCTGCGCGTGGGCTTTTCTCTAGTTGCGGCGAGCGGGGGCTGCTCTTCGTTGCTGTGTGTGGGTTTCTCATTGCGGTGGCTTCTCTTGTTGCAGAGCACGGGCTCTAGGCGTGCGGGCTTCAGTAGTTGTGGCACGTGGGCTCCGTAGTTGTGGCGCACGGGCATAGTTGCTCTGCGGCATGTGGAATCTTCCCGGACCAGGGCTCAAACCCGTGTCCCCAGCATT